TGAGAGCAAAGAAAGCAAAGATGAAAAGACAAGTTAGAAAATCTCCCGCAGAACTCGAAAGTCTTGTGGTATAGAACATAAATTAGATTAAGAAATCATATCAACAGTGACAAATCCCCGGCAACGGTGCCAAAAACTTGATGTGTGTTCATAGGAAAACACAAGTTTTACCCTAGATAAGCTGCAAGTGCACAACAAATGCAGTAGTACTTAGGGATCGAATCTACAAGGATTTAATTAAGTACTTCTAACAGATGCTAAAAACAATCGTTGACCCCTAATCGATTAAAAATGGGTTTTTGTTTGTCACTAAATCTAACTAAGAAGATAATTAAAAAGCTTGAAATAAAAATCGGTTGAAAACGATATTAAAAACGGCGCTGGGATTAGGGTTCATCTTTAGGGTTCATGTTCTAAAACACAGGGAATTTAGGTAAGGATTTTCTATGACTCTGAAACTAGGATAAACACTTATAAGATTAGCCAACTCTCGTCATCCAAATCATCTAATCACTTATTCATGGCAATTTAACTCTCGCTCTCATGCTAGAATAAGATCATGTATTTCAGATCGGAATTCATCTCGGCTTATTTATCTTCTGTAGGTAGATTTCGTCTCCTATGATGGTGATGTCCATATTATATAATTCAGACAACCCAGATACAACACTCTCGTGGCTCGGATTTAACCTAGGATCGGACTCTGGGTGATCAATACAGAGTTATCGCTTTGAGATTTAAGAACTAGAAATTCGAAAAGTAAACAAACAAAAGTTGCAGAAATCTTCTCGTATTGAAGACACTGTATGGCGATGAAAATCTTCTACAGATGCATAAAAATAAAACCTAAAACTACAAATGAGTTCTCTCTCAAAGAGAAGAAAGAGGCTTCTTTACAAAAGACGTAAAATGAGTAGTTTTAGTGTTTCTTCAAGTTTGGGCGTCTAGGGATTGTAAAATGGGTGCAGGAAGTATCTTGGGCCTTAATTGGGCTCATGAGGTTTAGACATAGGTCCACCAGGGGTGAAACAAGCTGAGCCGCGGTGGGAACAAGTTTGGCCGCGGGTGAAAGCTTCTGTCCTTGAGTGGACAGTGTTGATTAGCCTTCAGTGCATTGATGATATCTGGAGAGCTAACCGTGGAATTGCTTTGGTTCCAAGTGTGTTGGAAAGCTGGTTGTCTCCTATAAAATGTTGCCAAAGTTGGGGATGATCAGACGGTGATGACGTCTTATTTGGTTGCCAAAATTCTGATGGCCTGAATTTATCCAAAAATGTACTTTTGCTCTAAAATGCACTCTAAAACTCCAAGTTTCCTGAAAAGTCTTTCAAAACTTCAAAACATAGAAAACACTTATAAAACTTTTAAAACTGAGTGAAAACACCAGCATAAGATACTGAAAGTGATATATAAATATGGTCAAAATCAGGTGTCATCAGGCAGGAACTTGAATAGCTGATGTATTTGAAAGAGTTGGTGAGGTGCATCAAAATCGGCAATATGTCTATTGTGGGGCTGTCTTCTCGTAGGATTGGCAAGCTGTATGGGTTGATTGGCTTCTCTACCATTAGGTGGAACAATGTTTTCATCATTCCATCTTTCTCATGGATCGTTCCGATCTCTTCTCCATTGATCATCTGCGGCTTGAGCAGCATTTCCAGGGATTTGATTTCTGATATGTCTATATTTTACATCATTTAGATTGCATTATAGAGTCCTCATCATGTGTTTTCGCATGTAAATTGAGTCTCTAGGCGTCAAAATAGGACTTAGGGCTTGCATTAGGTCCCAAAGAGTTTTGCATGTTTTGAAGTCCTTATCAGGAGCTTTGGAGACCAATTGGAGCCTAAGAAGAGGAACAGGAAAGAAAACCGTGATGAAAAGGGTCAAAAATGGTGAAAACCGCTTGGAGGAATTTCTCGGCCAAATCTCGTACCGGCTGGTCGGAAACCTCGACCAAAATGTTTACCGGATGCTCATTATCGGCCAAAAACCTTACCGATCGGCCAGAATCGAGTATCGAGTGCAAAAATTCCACGGGACAAGTTTTTGACCGAGGCAAGGATTTTTACGACCAAAAAGCTTACCGCGGTACACAGCCCTCGGCCATTTCCTTACCGCGGGAAGGTTTTTACGACCAAAAGTTGCCCTTGCCCGCGCAATTCAGAAATCAGCAATCCGGGGAACCTTCCGGTCCGAATCAGTTGGCGGGGTCTTCACCAAAGTTGGAGATAATCAAGCCAAGATTCCAGAACAGTTGGAATAATCCAATTCGGACCAGTGGAGAGAAAGATATGGCTTCCGGAGCGTTCACCAGCCTTGCACGTACCCGAGAACTGAACGGCGAACTTCAAAGATCATGGCGGACGGAGCCTTTCCTGTCCGAACCAGCTTACCCGGTCTTCATAAAAGTTCGAGACCCATGGAAGATCTTCTCAGAGCATTTCGAATCGCTCAATTCAGAGCAAAGGTTTGGAAGATAGGGTCTCCGGAGTTCACATCGGTCTAAAAGTCTATTTTCCTGTAATTTCAATGCGGCGCAAAGATGTGAAATCCAGGAAGCCTTCCCCTCCCCAAGCTCCGATGGTTTCTTCACTAAAGTTCGAGCTTATTTAGTCATCTTTACTGTGGAAATGGTCCCAGAGCGATTGGAGTCGTGTGCTGAAAGTTATCGCTTCCGGAAGGTGACATGGTCGATAGAAGCCTAAAATGAGTTGCGATACGCGCTAAGTGTCTTCACAAGCCTCGGTATCTTTACCTTGGCATCACTCAAGTCGAGGCTCATACCTTGGAAGTATTTTGGACCAGACCTCGTCCCAAAGCCTTGGCATGATTAGATCGAGGCATGCATACGTAAAAACTGAAGCTGGAAACGACTAAGTGTTGAGAGTACACCTCGGTGTAATGACCTCGGCGTGCATGCCGGACTGTGTTCTCCCAAGCACCTCGACATCATGACCCCTCGACATTTTATCCCGAGGTCCCTTGTCACGAACCCAGAATCAAGAACAGAGTAGCTCAAGAACACACACGTGAGGATGGATCAAAGACTAGGGTTCATGCATGTTCTTGACGTGTTCTTCACGAGATCTTCATCCGGATCCTGACACACGTGAACACCTCGGCATGAAGACCTCGGCTTCACTTTCCGACACACCGTGGCACTCACCCATCAACCCAAGAGGGCGGTTCAGTACCCGGTTTGTTCTGGGCTGACCCGCGACACTTTCCCTTTGCTATAAATACATTTTGAGACTAAAAACCTAGTTATCTTATCTCTTACCTGTTTTTAGCTTTAAGAACTTGCCTCTTTTGTGAAAACCAGATTAATCTAATCCGATATCTCGTTTTTACATCTGAATCTTGTTCTTTCTTTACTCTTCTTTTATTATCAGCATTAAACTCCTAATCATGACCAGCTACACGTCTTGCAAAGGACTTAGTGAGCTCGTTATGATCAGTGAGTAGTCGTTTAAGCGACTTTAGATAAGTAGATTAGGGTGCTTTCAAGGTGGATTAATGGGTTTAGGTGTCTAGTCTTGCATGTTTCATTCCTTAACCGACGAGATCTCTAGGCTGGATCCAAGCACATCACTTGAAGTTCAGATCTGAGACATATCTCGCATCAAAATTGTTTGTAGAAATGTCTGAACCACTCGGTTAAGGGTTTAAGAGTCTTTCATCGCGAGAGTGATAGTTTGTTCTCTTAAATGACATATTTGAACTGAATCTTATTGCTGATTGATTCGTGCTTCTCAAAAGATATTTTGGTATGAAGGAGGATCAGTTTAGATGTTTAATACTTTCATGAGAAGATTAACATGCCTTGAGTTCAAAGTTAAAATGAAACCGCTTGATAAAATGATTCATTAGCCCATTAGTTTAGCTTGGAAGCACTCGAGTCGATTATCTTGTCTAAAGTCTCTTCCTTTATTGCTTATTATCATCATCTGAATCACCTGTTTGTTGTTTGCATCTTGCTTAGTTTAAATCTCTACTTTTTATTTACTTTTATTGCTTATTTGCCTGATTATCATCGTCACCAAACTTTTACCTTCTTGTTTTGACTTAAGTGAACAAATGACATAGGCTAGTGTCTCGTTTACAAGCTTGGTTTGACACCCCTTATACTACTTTGACAAAGGGGATTGATAACCCTTTTAAGAGCCTGAAAACTCTTAGTTATCAATTGGCGCCGTTGCCAACTTGTAGGAGCATTAGTCTCTTGTTTGTTCTTGAGTTCAAGCTTTTCTTTCCTTTGTTTTACTAACTTCTTTCCAAGTTCTTGTTTTGTTTTCAGGTGCATGAATACCAGGTCTCGGAGCACAGGATCGCTTTTCCCATACGACGATAACATCGACAGATTAGAAAGGCGAGCTCGCAAGAGAGAACGGCACTTTGACAGACTTGGAATGGCAGAACAACAGAGAATGGAGCAACAAGCTCAGGCAGCCGAGCACCAGGCTCAGGCTAATCAGGCGCAGGCAGGAAGAAATGAACAACAAGCCTATGTTAATCAGCAACAGGCTCAAAGAAACGAACGGCTTGCTCAGCAAAACCAACACCAAGCGAATAGAAATGAACAACAAGCCCATCATGTTCATCCACCACCGCCCCAAGTTCAGAGACAACATCCTCCAATCTGTGTTGGAGAGAAGGACCGAGCTAATGCGCACCACCGAGCTGGAATTCAAGCTCCACCAGTTCAAAACAACAACTTTGAAGTTAAAGCTTCCCTGCTCAATATGGTGCAAAACTCAAAGTTCCACGGTCTGGCTGGAGAAGACCCTCTCGAGCATCTAGATCAATTTGATCGGGTTTGCGACTTAACCAAGATAAATGGCGTCTCCGAAGATAGCTTCAAGCTACGCTTGTTCCCTTTCAGCCTTGGTGATAAAGCACACCAGTGGGAAAAGAATATACCGAGGGGTTCTATACAAACCTGGGAGCATTGTAAACTGGCGTTCTTATCAAAGTTCTTTTCCACATCACGCACGGCTAAGCTCAGGAATCAGATCTCAAGTTTCACGCAGCACAATAACGAGATCTTTAGTGAAGCTTGGGAACGGTTTAGAAGCTACACTAACCAATGCCCACACCACGGCTTCTCAGAGGCATCACTCTTGAGTACTTTATACCGAGGTGCACTCCCCAAGATCAGAAACCAACTCGATACAGCTTCAAATGGAAATTTTCTTGGGAAAGAGATCAATGCGGCAATGGAACTAGTCGAGAACCTACCCATGTCTAATGACACGTATGGAGAGGACTTTGATAGAGCAAACCGTACAGAGGGATCTAGTGATGAACAGCGCATTAAAAAGGATATAAGAGAGCTTCAGAGTAAGCTTGACAAATGATGGCGACTCAAAAGCCAATACACTTTGTAGGCGAGTTTGATGAGCAAGGGCCAAGTTTTGACAATGTTAATGAAGATGGTCTAACACTAGAGGAGCTGAATTACATAGGGAATCAGCAGAGGTATCAGCGGTTTAACAACTACAACAGTAACCCAAACCTCTCATACAGAAACCCGAATGTCGCTAACCCTCAAGACCAAGTGTACCCTGCTCAACAACAACAACAAAGCTATGCCCAAAAGGCTCCTTTTCATAATACCTTCCAGCCCAAGCAACAGTTCAGTGGGCAACAGCACGGCTACACTCAGCAGAATCAAGCGGCTCAGAGTAACAACTTCAACAACCAACCCCAGCAACACAAGTTTCCACCAGGGTTCCATCCGCAACCGATGGGTAATCAACAACAGATTCCGGGAACGGGTCAGAATCAAATGGGGAACGACGTCTGTGGGATACTACAGCAACTGTTACAGGGCCAGCAAAGGGTTGAGAGCCAGCACGCGACAATGCAGCAAGTTATCAGAGAGCTTAAGCAGAATCAAGCTTCTACATCATCAAGAGGCCCGGCTTTACCAGGTAAACCGGAGCCGAACCCTAAAGAGTATGTGAACGCCATCACATTGAGGAGTGGTAAGGAATTAAAAACTCCAACACCTAAGACAAAGCTCATTGAGGCCAATGAGCATTTCGAGGGGGAGTCAGCCTCAGATGATGCGCATAAAGACGATGTCTTAGAGAAGGAACCGATCAAGGACAAAGGAAAAGAGGTGGAAAAGACAACCGAGCTTGAAAAGCCCTATGTTCCACCATCATCTTATCAACCCAAGATACCGTTCCCAGGGCGTTTCAAAAAGAAAATCCTAGACAAGGCCAAGGCAGTCTTTGAGAAACACTTGGAGAACACGCAACTCACCTTACCCATTATAGATGCTTTCTTAGCTATACCCCAGCTTGGGAAGTTTCTAAAGGACGCGATCCTCAACAAGACAAAGGAGCTCCAGGGTATGGTGATACTGAGCCATGAGTGCAGTGCCATAATACAAAGAAGATCTATACCAAGGAAGCTATCCGATCCGGGCAGCTTTACTCTGCCGTGTGCTTTAGGTCACCTGAAGTTCTCAAACTGTTTATGTGACCTTGGAGCTTCTGTGAGCTTAATGCCTTACACGGTGGCCAAGAGATTGGGATACAAAAGCTACAAGCCAGCCAAGATCTCTCTTGTATTAGCTGATAGATCGGTTAGATTACCGGTGGGGTTGCTTGAGGATCTATCTTTGAGGATCGGTGAGATAGAAATCCCCACGAACTTCATAGTTCTTGAGATGGACGAGGAACCATTAGACCCTATCATCTTGGGCCGACCATTCTTAGAAACCACAGGAGCCATAATAGATGTGAGAGGAGGAATGATTGAACTACACATCGGTTCCGAGACTATGAAGTTCAACGTGAAGGAAATGATGAAGAAACCGACCATTGGAAGTCAGGTCTTCTATGTGGAAGTAATTGAGGAGCTCGCTGATGAGCTCCTTGAAGTTGAACGCAGAGGATCCGTTACAAGTGGTCTTAACGCGGGAACAAAGCGAGCACAGGTACTTGAACGAAGAAAGCGAGGTGTACAAGCGTCTTTTGAACCAACCGAGGGAACTTGGAGCTGAGGCGAGGTTTTTGGAGCTCCACACGAGCAGCCTCGACATCCTAGACAGCGAGGGATCCACGGAAACAGAAGAGACACCTCGGGATATCATGGCCGTGACCGAATCGTCAAACATATCTCGCATCAAAAGTGTTTGTAGAAATGTCTGAACCACTCGGTTAAGGGTTTAAGAGTCTTTCATCGCGAGAGTGATAGTTTGTTCTCTTAAATGACATATTTGAACTGAATCTTATTGCTGACTGATTCATGCTTCTCAAAAGATATTTTGGTATGAAGGAGGATCAGTTTAGATGTTTAATACTTTCATGAGAAGATTAGCATGCCTTGAGTTCAAAGTTAAATGAAACCGCTTGATAAAATGATTCATTAGCCCATTAGTTTAGCTTGGAAGCACCCGAGTCGATTATCTTGTCTAAAGTCTCTTTCTTTATTGCATATTATCATCATCTGAATCACCTGTTTGTTGTTTGCATCTTGCTTAGTTTAAATCTCTACTTTTTATTTACTTTTATTGCTTATTTGCCTGATTATCATCGTCACCAAACTTTTACCTTCTTGTTTTGACTTAAGTGAACAAATGACATAGGCTAGTGTCTCGTTTACAAGCTTGGTTTGACACCCCTTATACTACTTTGACAAAGGGGATTGATAACCATTCTAAGAGCCTGAAAACTCTTAGTTATCAATTTCCCTCTTCATCGAGTTGTGGCTGGCCATCTGCTTCATGAGCAGCCTCGCGGTCATCAACGCGAATGGAATCAAGGTCATCATCTCCTATGTGATCACCTTGATCACGGTTTAAAATATCTTCCTGATGGGAATTTGGATTGGCCATTTTGAGCGCCCTTCGTCTGAGTTTCCGAAGTTCTCTTTCGTGTTTGTCCATCTCGTCTAGGGGTAGTACAATAATGGCAGGATTTCTCCAAGTTTTCATGCACCTGAGAGCAAAGAAAGTAAAGATGAAAAGAAAAGCTAGAAAATCTCCCGCAGAACTCGAAAGTCTTGTGGTTTAGAACAGAAATTAGATTAAAAAATCAAATCAACAGCGACAAATCCCCGGCAATGGTGCCAAAAACTTGATGTGTGTGCTGAGGAAAACACAAGTTTTACCCTAGACAAACTGCAAGCACACAACAAACGCAGTAGTACTTAGGGATCGAATCTACAGGGATTTTGTTGAGTACTTCTAACTGATGCTAAAAACAATTGTTGACCCCTATCGATTAAAAATGGATTTTTTTTTGTCACTAAATCTAACTAAGAAGAGAATTAAAAAGCTTGAAATAAAAATCGGTTGATAACAATATTAAAAACGGCGATGGGATTAGGGTTCATCTTTAGGGTTCATGTTCTACAACACAGGAAATTTAGGTAAGGATTTTCTATGACTCTGAAACTAGGATAGACAGTTATAAGTTTAGCCAACTCTCCTCACCTGAATCATCTAATCACTTATACATGACAATTAACTCTCGCTCTCATGCCAGAATAAGATCATGGATTTCAGATCGGAATCCATCTCAGCATATGTATCTTCCGTCGGTAGATTTCGTCTCGTACGACAGTGACTTCCGTAAGATCTAGTTCAGGCAACCCAGATACAACACTCTCGTGGCTCGGATTTAACCTAGGATAGTACTCTGGGTGATCAATCCAGAGTTATCGCTTTGAGATTTAAGAACTAGAAAGTCGAAAAGTAAATAAACAAAAGTTGCAGAAATCTTCTCGTATTGAAGACACTGTATGGCGATGAAACTCTTATACAGATGCATAAAAATAAAACCTAAAACTACAAATGAGTTCTCTCTCAAAGAGAAGAAAGAGGCTCATTTACAAAAGACCTAAAAATGAGTATTTTTAGTGTTTCTTCAAGTCTGGGCGTCTAGGGCTTGTAAAATGGGTGCAGGAAGTATCTTGGGCCTTAGTTGGGCTCATGAGGTTTGGACATAGGTCCACCAGGGGTGAAACAAGCTGAGCCGCAGTGGGAACAAGCTTGCCCCCGGGTGAAAGCTTTTGTCATTGAGTGGACTGTGTTAATTAGCCTTCAGTACATTGATGATATCTGGAGATCTAACCGTGGATTGCTTTAGTTCCAAGTGTGTTGGAAAGCAGGTTGTCTCCTATACAAAGTTGGCAAAGTTCGGGATGATCAGACTGTGATAACGTCTTATTTGGTTGCCAAAATTCTGACGGCCTGAATTTATCAAAAAATGTACTTTTGCTCTAAAATGCACTCCAAAACTCTAAGTTTCCTGAAAAAGTCTTTCAAAACTCCAAAACTTAGCAAACACTTATAAAACCTTTAAAACTGAGTGAAAACACCTGCATAAGATACTGAAAGTGATCTATAAATATGGTCAAAATCAGGTGTTATCAGGCAAGAACTTGAATAGATGATATATTTGAAAGTGTTGGTGACGTGCATCAATATCGGCAATATGTCTATTGTGGGGCTGTCTTCTCGTAGGATTGGCAAGCTGTATGGGTCGATTGGCTTCTCTACCATTAGGTGGAACAATGTTTTCATCATTCCTTCTTTCTCATGGATCGTCCCGATCTGTTCTCCATTGATCATCTGCGGCTTGAGCAGCATTTCCAGGGATTTGATTTCCCTCTTCATCGAGTTGTGGCTGGCCATCTGCTTCATGAGCAGCCTCTCGGTCATCATCGTGAATGGAATCATGGTCATCATCTCCAATGTAATCACCTTAATGACGTTTTAAAAGATCTTCTCGTTGGGAATTCGGATTGGCCATTTTGAGCGTCCTTCGTCTGAATATCCGAAGTTCTCTTTCGTGTTTGTCCATCTCGTCTAGGGGCGGTACAATGTTGGCAGGATTTCTCCTATTTTTCATGCACCTGAGAGCAAAGAAAGCAAAGATGAAAAGATAAGTTAGAAAATCTCCCGCAGAACTCGAAAGTCTTGTGGTCTAGAACTGAAACTAGATAAAAAATCAAATAATCAGCAACAAATCCCCGGCAACGGTGCCAAAAACTTGATGTGTGTACAGAGGGCAATACAAGTTTTATCCTAGATAAGCTACAAGTGCACAACAAACGCAGTAGTACTTAGGAATTGAATCTACAGGG